CCAGGGAATGCGGCTTGATGGGTAGGGCAAGGATATTTGAAGATTCTTTTGTTTAAAGGATTGCAATTTTCCATTTGTCAGGTTAAAAACGATGCAAGTATGGTATAAATTCCTTTTCTGTCCAACAAATTTGGAGCTAGCAGAATAGTTAGAATTTTTTCGCGGTCTGTCTTAAATATGGATGATAATTGCAGTTAGAAAGAGGGGCGGTATTTGAAAATGGACCTTTATTGTCATTTTTATCGAATAAAATGGGCTTCATTGTCACTTTTATCTAATAAAAGGAAGAATGTGACTGCTCCTTTTTATGATTGGGTAGTGACGTGTATGCCTTTTAAAGGAATGTCCTCAAACAAATATTCAAGCTATCTATTAATTTAGCAAAATAATTTGAACAACCACTCTGTGCTGTGGTAAAGCAGTAAGCCAAACATAGTTCCTGGAATTATATTTGTGATAGTTATATATTTCTTTATATATAAATTGAATCAACACTATTTTTGATACTCATTGCTGACTCTCTCAAAATATACAATTAGGCAATGAAAATTTAATAAATATCTAAGTATGTAAGAAGAATACATTAAAATAGAAAGGTTGTAACTAGAGCTCTGCTTAGTACACCTAGGGCTCTGCTGAAAAAAAAATACATAAAGGCTTGGTGTGTGAAAATAAAATGTTATAAATCAAGGGTCATGTGAAAGATGAAGAGATAACTTACCTTGTATTTTTAAAATCATTTAAAAATACATTTCTTTTTGAATAATTCCAGATAATATATTTTCTCACTGAATACTGCTATACATTGACACACGATTCATTATTACATTAGGTTAGGAGGAAGCATCAATGTTTCCTCATTTATGTTAACATCTGGATTTATATTTATTAAATGCCCTGAGGATATTAGCATTAATAATAACAATCATATCTAGATAAATCTGCCTTCACATCTGCAGACATATGACATCATCCAATAGCTAGCTGATACACAGATTATTTTTATTATTGAGCAATGATAATTAATAGAAACACCTTATACAAAATATAATTTTAAGAGCAATTATACACATTTTGAGAAAGTTATTATATACAATATATTTTGTATTTATTTTCTTAAAAAAAACCTTATTTTACTTCTCTGCTAATTACCGAATCTTTTAGTAATTCTTCATTGTGTACTAAGTAACCTATGGATGCTTTGCCTGGTATGAAGGCCTTCCTTGGTCTTACCCCGATTTACTTTTATAACATGTCCTTTACTATTTAAATGTATCCCATTCATCATCTAAACCAAACTTGTCCTGGTTCTCCATGTTTGTTACGAATCGTCCCACCTATTGTCCTTTCTCCCTAGTTTCCAGCACTTAGACTATTGCCTGAACTGATCTCTGCATGTCTGAACCTACCTATCATTTTAAAGACGGTATCACATCTAATTCTTCAATGAAGCCTGTCCTCAATTTCCCACTAAAAATAAGATTCAAAGGAAATTCAAATTCTTTGGCATTTATCTATAGTTTTCTCTATACTTTCCTAAAAACTTTCATTAATTTTATCTTGTATTTTTAGTCACTAATTCTTAAGCATATTTATTAAACACCTGGCAAGCAGGGTGTTAATGACACATCTGGAGTAGTTGTTGGGTAAAAGGAATAAGAAAGTACATTTTCTGGTGAGAATTAAAAATTATTAGAAAACCAACTAGATGTTATTTTTCTTTTTGTTATCACCATGTGTCAGCCATTCTAAACAGTAGCGGGGTCAAAATACAACTGCCATAAAGGTTTTTTTTTTTGTCCAAGATCTAAATAACTGCTGTGCTTACCCTCGTGTTTCTATTATGTATATGTCCACATGTCTGTATAGTTAGCCTCCAACACACGTAAACTCAGCTGCACACATGTTCTAAAAGCAAGATCCTAATGACTTGGAATCATTCAAATTTTAAAAGAGTGAAACATAGAACAGTCTGTGAGGTGTGATATCTTGTTTGTTAAGTGCGAATTTTAGTTCATGAATGAAATAGTTTATTTCACTTGATCATCTTTAAATTTCAAAATTATTATTTTTTAAATTATTTGTTATAACCCTAAAGGACAATTCAATCAAATGTAATTGTTAAGTAATAATTATACAGAGCTATTGCTTTAAATGATTCTGTTGTTCGGAGGGATGTACAATGTGATTAACTCTGGGTGTCATGGCGTTAGGTACTAAAGCTATAAAGATAAATAGAGCCTCCAGTCTCTGGATCCTCATTGCCTTCTTAGATTTCCCCCAAATCTAAGAGGTTTCTGAGATTTGCTTTGTTACTGTCATTATATCATCTTAAAAATCGCATGTTCGCATTACCCACGTTAATACTAAAAGGGATCTCTCCCTCCTCCTCCCATTTTCTTCAAGAATAGCAGCTATTTATATGAGTTTCAATTCTCCTGTTTGAAGCAGTTATTCAGATGCTTTTCTGTAATTTAATTTAATTTTCAAAGATGAAAGAAACATTGGGCAGGCCTCTCCTAAATGAACAGCCTAGAAATTTGACAGTGAAGTTTGTATTAACTTTACAGATCATAGATTACATGAAGGATAAACCTTTTTATATAGAGAGTTTATATTTAAAGGTAAATACATCAATGGAAATAATGGCCCCAAAAGTAACTTTTGAAGATGATAATTCAGTGCTTAATATACTAGTGTCAAACTGTGAAACAGTCTCATTTTATTTATTATAAGCATAGCAGATCTAGTTGAGTAAAAAAAAAATCATATTAATTTGGTGTTCATAAGGACATATTAAATTAGAAATAGTAAGTATATCTTTTTATGGTGGATTACTCAATAGTTTAATTGTATTTGGTTGGATGACAGAAGAAACACTAAAAATTATTGAAGTCAGATAAGAGTGACAAGTGACATAGGCAGTCTTAGAGTTCTGAACATAGTTTTTCAATTACTATCATGTAGAGATAAAGAAAACTATTACAGTAGTCAATGCAAGGAGATAGAAGACAACAAAAAAATAATAAAATAAAAATAAGAGCTCTCTATCAGAAGATTCAAGAAATGAAAAATAAAATCAAACCTAAACTGAGAATGCTAAATGCCCACAAGAAAGTGCATTGCCAGACCAGGAGAAAATAAAGGGAAGGTGGAAGTTGTACTGAAAATCCATACAGAAGAGACAAAGGATGACGCATACCTCTGAAGATTTTTATAAGGAAGAAACTGTAATTCTAGAAAAAGAAGTGAAAACTGCCCTGAAAATATTGGGAAGAAGTACATCATCATGGTTAGATGGGATACCAATACAATTATTTCAAGCCACTTTGTCAAAATCGTAACAAGAAAATGTCCAGAAATGTGGAAAACAAAGCAATGGCCTAGGAGCTGGAAATATTCAACACATATCCCCATTTTGAAGAAAAGAGATGCCGAGGAGTCTAGTAACTCTTAGGACCATTACTGTAATTTCCTACACAAGTAAAGTGATCCTCAAGGTGATGCAACAAAAACTTCTACCTTATATATGGAACAAGAAATGCCAGCCGTGCAAGCTGGATTCAGAAAAGGAAGGGGTACTCCAGTTGTAAGCATTTTTTAGATGTGAAATGCTGCAAAGAATTTCAGAAGAAGATTGGTCTATGCATTATCGACTACAGTAAAGCCTTTGACTGTGTGAATCATGAGAAACTATGGGATGCTCCAAAAGAAATGGGTGTGCCTCAGCCTTTGATTATCCTGATGTGTAGCCCGCACTGTGGACAGGACCAAATTCAGAGTGAAAATAGTTTTCTTTAGGGCAAAGGTTTCAGACAAGGGTCCATTTTAAAGCTAATAGGAAAAAACACACACCAAACTTCAGTTGAAATATGGTGCCGGAGGAGAGCTCTCCTGATAGCCTGAAATGCCAGAAAGACGAACAAGTGGGTCCTACGGCATTGCCCTATGTTGGGCTCACCATGAGGAAGCAGAGTACTTTAGTAAAGACAATAAAATAAAATATTACTGGGGGAAGTAGAAGGCAGCAGGAAAAGAGGAAGACCAAATGGGAGATGGATTAACTCTATAAAAGAAGCCATAGGCACGAGTCTACAGAAGCTGGACGGGGCTGCTAAGGACAGGACGTTGTAGACATCACTCACTCGTAGGGCCACCAGGAGATGGAGCTGACTCATGGCATGTAACATACACACACCCGTTTATTCCATTTAATTGATTTAAATGCTTATATTTTACTAAATGTATTTTTTACTAAAAGCATTTTAATGAAATAATCCAGAGTAAAATAAAATATGGAAAATCAAGATTGCTTTAATATGTATATGTTTATGTTGCCTTGGAGTTTAATTAGTAGGGCAGTAAATTTGGAGAAGATTGTTTTTAATCTATACCGAAGCATATTTCTAAAGATGCAAATATTGACCTAAATATACATATTATACAAGTCGGTGCTAGAATTTATACAAGTTTAACATACTTAAACACTTCACACATTTGTCATTTAGTTATCAAAATAACCCTATCTCAAAGCATTAATTAAATTGTATCTATGAGAAAACAGTTTTTAGTAGGTCACTGAGTAAGAATTGGCAGAGATGGGAGTCGATTCCAAGCCTGCCTTATTTACTTGTGCCTTTACATGCATCTACTCATTCAGTAGGGGTGTGCTGCTTACACTGGATTCATTTAGCCATGAGAAAAGCATTTAACCCTGGGGGACAAAACTGTCTTTTCTTTTTTCTTAGTTTTTATTTATTTATTTATTTTAAATTTTTATTGTTGAAAGTATTACATATGTACCCTTCCCCCACCCCCATTGACCTCTTCTCTTTTCTCTCATTTGAAAGTTCAAAGACTGGAATATGTGGGCTTTCTGTCTTTATAAGCAATGGCATTAACAGACACTGCCTGTCATCACCACCATTTTTAGTTGGTGATAGACTCCTGATGGTAAATCTGTATCTTTATTTCCTTCTTCTTCTTTTTATTTTTGTCAGAATGATGTAGGAGGACAACGCAGCCTGATAAACAAGTGGACAACTTTTCTTAAGGCCAGATTGATTTGCTCAATTCCTGGAAGTGATGGGGCAGATACTCATTTTGATGAGCTCCGTAAGTCACATGTTTCATTTTTCTTTTAAAAAAAGTCTTATTGCCTAATTAATTCAGCTTTTATTTTATTTTATCCCCAAATGCCCGATTGTATAGCCCAGTACAACTTGAAGGAGTGGTTCTTACTAGATTTGCACATATAGAGAACACAGATGTGCTCTAGATCTGTAATGAAAAATTCTTCCTCAAAGTTCAGAGGGAAACAAAACTACAAAACTACGGCAAGAGACATAGTCCTGGGACTACAATGCCCATGCATCATCCATGTAGTCTTTCACTTGAGAAGGAGCCACTCTCTGTCTATAGGTAGAAAGACCTTGGGTTCCTTATTCTGTGGATGCCCCCTGCTGGAGAGCATAGGAGATTTGGTGAACTCTGTCCCTCCAACTTGTTAATAAAAATAATAAAAAAAATTTTTAAAAGGGAGGCGGGAGGGGAACATCTGTCATACTTTCAACAATAAAGGTAATTTTTTAAAAAATTAAATAATAATAATAATACTCAGAGAAGCATTAGACAGCTTCTTTCTTTCATTTTCCTTCTTTACTCCTTTCAACGCTAATACAAGAAGGAACTTTTTTCAGTTTCATATAAATTTAGTATTATTAGCTTTTATCTTCTTGAATTTGTCCTTGTTGGCAATATAAAAAAGGTTGCATCATTGATGATTTTGTCAAGATTGTATTTTATAGTATTAAAGTATATATTCAGTATTCATGGATGATCTCTAATGTTGACTATAAGCATGCTCACATCTTAAATAATCTTTTAAAATATTTTTACACATACTTTAGTATCAATTTGCACAAGTAATTACACAAGCAATGCTACACAATTAATTTGTGCAGCTATTTTCAGACATCTACCAAATAGGTAATTCAGTCACTAATAAGTTGACATAATTATAGGACAAAACTTTTTATAGTGGTGGAGAAAAATAGCCTATGTTTTTTAAATTTTTATGTCAAATCACATACTCCTAATTGGAAATAGCGATGGAGATTATCAAGCAAACCATTCCATTTATAGGTGATGTAAGTAACACCTAAGAGGTTAATGTCTGATTCCACGTCACATAGCTAGTAAGAAAACCAGTCTTTTACCCTTACTTTCTCATGTAGTAATGTAATGACTTTCACTGTTACCTTCATTTTATATACTGTTTAGAGTTTCAGAAATATTGTATTATTAAACAAAAAAGCAAACATGTTAACTCAAAAACTAAAAATATAGTGAATCATTATTTTTTTCCCATTAATAGAAGACATATACTTACTCCCCACAAGAGATGAAAGAAACCCTGTAGTATATGGAGTCTTTACCACAACCAGGTAAGTTAAAAAAAATGATTGTAATTCTTCTAGAGAATTGTTACGTATAAGTAAGAAAATACAGTTATATGTTTTGTCCCTTCCTTTCGTGTGAAAAAATACACATTTTTCCTTTTCCTTTTCACTTCGTGTTTCCTATAAATATTTTAATGTCAGTACATACAGTGTTTCTCTGTTCTTTTTACCCCAGTAGAGTGTCCTCTGTGTCATTTGTCACGGTTTATTTCAACAGTCCCCTGTACATAGATAGTTCCATTGTTTCCCGTCCTTTGCTGGTATGCATAATGCCTCAGTGACTAAACTTGTGCTTATGTCAATTCCTCTGTGAGCAGGTATATCTGTGAGCTAAGTTCTCAGACTAAAATGACTGGGTACAAAGACATATGCATATACTAATCATAATAAACATTTCAAGTTGTGTGACATAGAGGTAGTAATACTAAAGAACTACATGTCTCAGTTTTGTGGCTATGCTCTAAACAGGAGATAGGCCACTCTTGACCTTTAAAATGTCATCACATGCTAACTTATATGCACCTCCTCATTACCCCAGGAAGATGAGAGTTTGGCTGACATTATCACCATACCATCACTGCTCTACTAATATAGGCAAAGGAAGTTTGTATACTTGCCATAAAAGAGGAGCCAATTAGTAGTGAAAATGGGACTAGAACTAAAGGTCATTTCCTAATTGTCATCCTGTATTATTTCCTTCTTTATGCATACTACTGTCTGGTACTTGTCATTGAATCTTGTGACTTCCTTAAAAGTTTTCCTTGCACCCATGAAGCTTTCTTAAAGAATATATGGACACTACTTTATTTTATTGAATATTAATTGTATTCAATTCAGTAACCTACATTGGGCCATGTTCAAACTATACCATATATTACTGTTTACAGTATATTCTTTGAAATACTTTGCATTTTTTCCACAGCTCCACTATCAATCTTTATCAATGTATATTGATATTATTATTGGAGAAATTGGCAGTATTGCTATGGGTATTAGAAAAATGGTCTCACTGCCTCCTTCTGATTAAAGTATTAAGATATTTTGCAGGCAAATTATAATTTCATTTCTGTGGCATTATCCTCATTTACATATACATTATACCTTATGTATAAACTAAAATGTACTATTGGTTCAGAATATACCAGAAAACATACTTGTTGGTTCATTATGATAGAACAGGTGAAACATTTAAATATAAGAATAAAGAAGATATCCTAAGAAGCTGCTGTTTTCTGCTCCATTTTCCTGCTAATTTATGTCTGAACTACAAGGTGCAAGAAGAGCAAGTGCCTGTAGTTACCCAAGATAAGTATCTCAGCCCTAGGCTCTTGGCATCTCTTCATTCACGCAATGGCATTAAGCATGATGCATCATCTTTTTAAAATATCATAGGCTAGTCATGTGATTTTTATGGGAACATCTCTCTTCTTAGCAGCTAGTTTTCTCCCAGATGCCTGTTTACTGTCAGCTCCCAATGTTTCCCATTAACGTCATTCCAAGAATATTAATGAGTGAGTTCTTCCTGCTCAGAGAATCCTTAGCTCATTTTTGTAGCACTGAGATGTGATAAAGGGTGATCTTGTATTTTAGAACAGCAACCATTGAAAGTTTTAGAGTCAGAGAAAATGTACTTTATTTTCCAGAAATAAATCAAAAACAGAACATCTGATGGCCGTGTTAACAGTTTTCATCATTAGTTGGCAAAACTGTGTCAAATTTCCATGGAGCTTTTCTGCCTCTTAATTGCATGTGCTCCAACTCTGTGTAATTAAGTTTAATTTTAAGCATCAGATAAGATTCACATGTAAACTCAAATACAAGAAGGAGCAAAAAAGTTTGTTTCAACATTTTAAAAAAATTCTTTATTGTTTAAAGTGTTACATATGAATCCTTTTCCCCATTGACCTCTTCCCGCTTGTTCCTGCTCCTCCCACTCCCTCAGCACGTGCCCTCACTCCCCCTACTCACTGTTCCCACCATGGGAAACAGTATGGAGTTTCCTCAAAAAATTAAAAATGGATCTCCCATTTGACCCAGTTTCAACATATTTAAATTAATTAAACATTAAATAGCCAGTATTTATGGTCATTCACTCAACTTAAGAAAACAGACACATCATTATTAACTACATGTCTAGATTATTCCTTTTTTTAAAAAAAAAAGTAAATAATGCACCTTTTCATTTTAAATTCTTTAGAGGGCATTATGCTGAAATAACCTCAAATAAAATTTAAGAGCATGTGGATAAGTAAAATACTCTTTTCTACATATGTCTTTCTATCCTCCAGTTTTTCTAGGAAATTCTTATTAATGCATTGTTGGTTTAGATATCACCTACTCCCTGAAAACTTACCAGACAGCCCAGTATTGGGTACCTATCTGTGTGCTGCTTAGCTTACTGCAATTACCCATGATATGATTGTTAATACACTTTATTCAGGCTATAAACTCCTTGAGATCATACCTACATTTTATCTGCAGCACCTCTCATATTTGTGCTCAATGAGTGTCCAATGAAGGAAACTGTGGATTGAATCATGTTGCTTTCTTTCAGCTCCATCTTCAAAGGCTCTGCTGTTTGTGTGTATAGCATGGCTGACATCAGAGCAGTTTTTAATGGCCCGTATGCTCATAAGGAAAGCGCAGACCACCGCTGGGTGCAGTATGATGGAAGAATTCCTTATCCCCGACCTGGCACTGTATGTATTCAACTTAATAATGCAGTACCTTTCTTACGCCCATATTCTCTTTTTAAATATGTTGTAATAAACTACATCCTTCACCACAGCAATAAGTACTGTGCTGTTTTTTAAAAAAATAAGTATTATTTATTTACGTGATGTTTTAACATTTCCAGCCTTTACTGGAATTTAACATTTTTCTTCCGAGTAATAATTTTGAGTAATATAGGAAACAATGGACTCTATCTTAAAGTGCAGACTATGCTGAGAATGTAGTACTTATATTGTACTTGCATAGTACTTACAGTACTTACATAGACTCAATGAGTCTGCAGAATCATCAAAATGATTTAGTATCTAGAATGACAAATATTCTAAATTAGTAGGAAATGCCAAATAAGTATTTATTCCCCAGCTAAAGCACGATATGTAGCTAGAGTCCCCATTTAAACAACTACATCAATTAAAAACGTTCATTCAAATTATCTCCTTTTTTGTTATGCATTGACCTTTTCTTTTCTTTTCTTTTCTTTTCTTTTCTTTTCTTTTCTTTTCTTTTCTTTCTTTCTTTCTTTCTTTCTTTCTTTCTTTCTTTCTTTCTTTCTTTCTTTCTTTTTTATGCCGCTCCTTGGAATACTATGCATAGGTTAGATAGGAAAGGGCCTAGAGAATCCTGGGTCCAAAATTCCATTCAAATACTATAAATTGTGTTTAAAACATAGATGAAACAAGAAATGTGTTTTAGACTTTATGCATCTGTCTAAAAAACCATTGCAGTTTAAAATCAGTATGTGCGTTATAAATGGATGGCTTCTGTTTTACTGTTGATGTGATTAAAACAGTTTGTTATTTAAATATTTAAGGATTGGTTATTGAACCCATATTATATTGTTTTAATTCAATATATATTGAATATTCAATATATATTGAACTGATATAAATAAAAATGCCTTTTTTTTTCCATTTAGGATTTAGTATGAATATTCCTACCAAGACATCTAAAATCATCATCAAAATCTCTGAGAAAAATTGTTGACCTAACCTGTCTAATTCTATGGAATTTTGCTTTTTCATATGTTCATTCCTAAAATGGAAACAGCTGGTAGCCAGGCTTTCTGAATTTTCTTTTCATCTTCCTGTTATATAACCTAATTAAATCTGGGAAACACACTTTACAACCATGTCTATTTCTCCTTCATAATCCTTCAATATAAATATGTTGCAGGGATGTTTCTGGACTGATTATTAGGTAATCACAACTTTTGTAGAAACAACTTTTCTTTTGCAAATAATATTATTATTATATTCGTGGTTTCCTTTATTTTCTTTGTATATCAAAGCTGTACTTGCTTGTTTTATTTTTATATGTAACAGTAACACAGGGCATTAGCACTCTTCTAAAGGTTTTACAAATCTTAATTTTCATAGTGAGTCTATGAAGTAAGTGTTATTATCATTAATGCTAATTTACAGGTGAGGAGTCTCAGACGCAAACAGGTGCAGTGTCCTGCCCAAGGTCACAAAGCTAGTGAGTGGTGCAGCTGAGTTGTAAACCTAGAGACTCAGGAGGCAGAGCCCGAGATCTTAGTCCTGTAGTAAGATACTAGATGAGAAACTTTTGATGTTAAAATATATTTATTTTCCCTTTCCATGGAAGATCTTTTACTGAATAAACACACATATAGGGTGTCCCCAAAAATGTATATGCATACTTTGAATACTTATAAAGGCAGTGTTTATTAAAATGCATTCTATTTTCAAAATTGAGCTGTTAAAATGTGTATACATTTTTGGTACACCCTGTATATATCCTCCTATATAATAAAAGGCTAATATGTAAATAGACCGAAAGGCAGAACAACCTGAACAACCAAACAACCGGTCGCTATGATGTGCACTGGCCACCAGGGGGCGTGCACAGAACATGGCAGGCATTAGCTGTGACAGGATGGTGAAGCAGGTAAGCAGGGGCACCAGACCAAGGGGGGGGTGCCAGTTGCTGCCATCGGGGCAAGCCTCTGCTGGTTACTATAAATTCTTTGCCCCTGCATGCCACGGTCCTGCACGGCGCTCACACCTGCTGCCAGTGCCAGCCCCGCTTGCACCCGCTGCCAGTGCCTGGTGCCGGTCCTGTTTGCTTGATATCATCAGCAGGTGCAAGCAGCAGCTGCCGGCCCTGATCGCCCCTGATGGCTTCTCCACCTCCTCCTGCTCCTGAGGGGCTATTGGGGCAGCAGCTGCCGCTCAGCAGCTGACGGCACCGGGTCCAGCTCACACCTGCTGCTGGCGCTGGCCTCAATCACTCCACACCTTCAGTGGGTGTGAGCAGGGCGGTGCCATCAGTGTGTGGGAGTGGCAACGGTGGGAACAGGGCTGCCAGCAGACAGGGGACTGTGGGGACTGTGGCTGGAGGGGCCAGGCTGGGTCACGGAGGATGGGCTAAGACCCACCTCTGTGCCTACTGCAGCCTTGCTGCCCACAGTTCCTTTCAAGGTGCACAAATTTGTGCACTGGGTCCCTAGTAATAAATAATGAATATGTTATATGTATTGGCGGGGGGTAGGGGGGGAGGGTAAGGAAGAGGATTAAAATTCAGAGAGCTCTGGCTGGGAAAGTTTTATCATACTAGGATTCTGGTGTTAAGTATCATAGACTATCACATTCAGTACTATTTCTACCTGAGTTTGTTTTAAATAAAAGACTATGACCATTCAGGCCATTTGAAAAAGCATTTTTAATTATCTGAATGTTACAAGAAAAAGAATTTGAGACTGAAACCATTTACATTAATTACAGAATACAGCAGTTGATTCTTTTGATATTAAGAAATTGAACTGACCATCCCAATGACATTAGGCTCTGGTTATAGTGTGGGCTGGAGTTGCTGCAGAGGTGGGTCATGCTCACCACTTCCCTGCTCCTGCCTGAAAGAGTGATGAATGCCACAGGAGGCATAAAGACCCCTCACATGCCATGTCACTCCCCTCCTCTGGACACAGCCACATCCCTGAAATATGAATATGGGACCCCCACACACAGAGTGAAACGTACACGTCAGTGAGGAGGGTTTTCATCGGTGAGGAAAGAAGCACCACATGATGGGACGCAGGTTGAGAACTCAAAACATAAACTGTTCTCACTAGATCATCTTTGTTTCAGTAAAACTCTGAATCTTTTTATTTTCTACAAATCTCCAGATCAAAAAACTTAGTCAAAAACTATAATTAAACATGATCCAGACACAGTGATAAGTACCTTTACAACAACATGATGTCGATATTTTATGGATAAGAAGAAGCTCATAGTCTCATCGTTTATGAAACGATGAGACTGTGATTAAACTTAGATCTGTGGAACTTCAAATCAAATGCTGTTATCTCCATGCCATTCCACCTTCAAAATGATAAAGGCAAACAACCAAACAAAACCGTGCATTGTTTCTCCAGGGAGAAATGGTCTGTTCTCTGCACAAATAATCATGAAGTTTTGAAGCCATTTTTTGCACTTGCCATTCCTTTTATTTATTCCTTATTGCACTTGTAATTAGGGGAACATATCACACTTTAATAAAAATATTGCTGAATAATATGCTTTCTATGAAATGTCAGAATCTTTCCTGAAAACCACTTTCTGCTCAAGTTAAAAATTTGAAAAAGATTATTACAAACCACCTTTGCTTTTACATTCTCTGCATCCATTTTGCTGCCAAAGTTGAGTTGTAGCTTGTTCTCCCAGGAGTGACTTCTGTTGACATTACCACTCGGGTAAATAAACACTACAACTTTCAGGGTGCCATAGCTACTTTATTTTTTTTTTTCTGACATAACTATGTAGTTCCTGTGACAAGGCAAACCTAAACTCCCAGACTTGCAATGATAACACTACCCCACAGTGTTAATTAAATAGCCTGGGAACACACCGACGCACAGGATATATTTACAGAATTCCTTCACTTCAAGGGATTCTTCTGCCCTCTGGTGTCCAAAGAGCATGTCTGAACAAACTATATTTTGTTCTGATGGACTTTGTAAAGCATTAATGTGCTGGGAGTCTTGGTAATGAGAAGCTCCAAGTGACATGAAATACGGAATTATGTGCCATACAATGAATAACACAGGTCAGATGTGGAAATCAAACTGAGATCATGACAAAAATAACAGGATGCTAGATAATGCATTATTTGGGGAAGAGTTTTAAAGGCAAATTTCTTTTTTTTTGATATTTCATTTATTACAAAAGATATACTCTGTAATTTAATTCTGTTTTGGTAAGGAATTTTTAGGATTTATTCATAAATGTAAAGTATTTAATGTTTATTTAAAAGTGAGTTTCAGTTCTTAAACCAGTCTCTTATTGAAAAGGTGAGCAGAAAGTAGTTAAAATTTTGAGGTTGTGGTAAGAACATTTAATGTGAGATCTACCATCTTAATAGATTTTGAAGTGCACAACACAGTGTTGTTATCTATAGGCACAGCAGATCTCTGTAACTTATTCATCTTACATAACCAAAATTTTATGTCCATTGATTAATAAGTTTCCATTTTATTCCTTTCCCTAATCCTGGGGAGGAAAAAAATCACAACTCTATTCTTTGCTTCCATGAGTTTGACTACTTTAGGTAACTTATATGGGTGGGATCATGCAATATTTGTCATTCTGTGACTTACTTATTGAAACTAGCATAGTGTCCCAGTTCATCTCTGCTGTCATATATTGCAGGATCTTCCTTTTTACGGCTGAATATGTATAAATCTATCACATTGTGTGTGTGTTTATCTAGTCATACATCAGTGGACATTCAGGCTGTTTCTGCATTCAGTATGAAGGTTCCTCAAAAACTGAGGAATAATATTATATAATCCAGCCATCCACTTCTGGGTATTTTTATTCAAAACAATTGAAATCAGGATCTTGAAGAGATATCAGCACTCTCTTATTCCTCGCCACACTATTCACAATAGCCAAAATGTAGAAAGTACTTGTTTTGGAAGTTCAAATATTAAGGAAATATATGTTTC